ATAAATAAATAAATAAATAAATAAATAAATAAATAAATAAATAAATATACTGCCTGTGGATGTAGAATTGCAGTGGGAAAGCAAACAGAAGAAGGGTTCTTCACAATCCCCATACCACCGTTTCTCCATTCGCAGTCACATCCTCTCAAAGCTGCAGCTTTCTAGAAGCAGCTGACTATGTTTTCTTAACATCATTTATTTATTTATTTTTAACATTTCTATGCCGCGCCCATTGCCGAAGCCTCGGGGCGGCTCACAAAGAACAAATAATCAGGCATAGGATGATATTAAAAATTCAGAGTTTCTCGGCAAATATAAAACCATTAAATAAAAACCAGTTCACAATTAAAACATCGTTTAAATAAAAAGGTCTTGGCCTGGCGCCGAAAACCAAATAATGACGGCGCCAGGCGGACCTCTCTGGGGAGCGCATTCCATGTCTGTGTATTGTGTGGTACCATCCTGACTCTCACGTGTACTCATAAATTTATACAGCAGTTTCTGAAAGAATTCACAAAGTTTTATCCAATATTTATTTATTCATTTAAAATTTTGTATGCTGTCCGTTACTGTCGTCTCTGGACAGCTTACAACATTATTTCAGATTACAATAAAATAAGATAAATTAACTATCTGTTAATTAACTAAGTAATTTATTAATAAGATAAATTAATTAAAGCAAGTTAAATTCTTTTGTTCATTTCAATGACTCTAGCTGAACTGACATCAGATACAACCCAGTATTTATACATGTTGGGCAAGTTCATTTTGGGGTCATATATTCATTAATATGCATTTGAGTATTTAGCTGCCTTAATTACATTTTTATATTAGCGATGGGTTTGAAGATAGGTACAGGTAAAAGCTTGATTTTTCAGTCCACAAAAATCTAACTTTATGTGAACAGCAAATGCAAATGTGAGATTTGCCTACATTGTGGGTACAGATCAGTGAGATCACAAGAACGTTCATCCCTGTGTTGCGTAGCTTGCATTCCATCAGTGGAAGTTGTGGCCTTTCCAACACACTTCATTTCCAGGACCATCATGCAAGTGTATAGCATTTCGCTGCATGTGCCTGTGGAGAGAGAGGGGATATAAAAACTCAAGGAGATTATTTTCATTTAAGTTTTGCAAATAGGAGCCGAGGGAATGCCTGACAGTGACTCCTTTCTTGCTCTGCCAAACCTAATGTAAGCATGCAGTTTCTATTGCTTATATTCTAACTTTAGTCAGGCTATGTAGGGGATTGTAGATTCCCACCCTTAAAAGTCCTTGAGGGATGTAGTAATGCAAACTTTTCAGTGAAGTACTGAAGGCATCTTGTACCTGAAGTCATAACCTAGAAATACTGTCTCAATTTTAGGTTGTTGCCTCTCTTGCAGTATTTACATAAAATATTGGCAGCCTTTTCATTACAAAATGTCAGTAAAAAGCCAGAACCTCAAAGAGGAAAAGAAACAAAGATAACTGGATAGGTGTGAATGTGTTCACTTTCATACATGTATATGGAATGTATAAAAGTACTGCTTTCTACAGATTAAACCTAAACATTGGCAAAGGCAGACCAAATACCCACATACGTATCCATTCATGAGTGCATCTTTATACCACTTGGCAGTATATTGAAAGTGCTGTTAGGTCCTCAGTCCATTGCATTATAGGAGGTGATGTTTGACCTTCCGATGTTGTAGCCTTTTGGCTTACGGAAAGCGCTCATTCATTTGCACTGACCACACATTAATTTCCTGGAGGCAGGTAGATAAGTTAACATGCACAACAGTAAATATTAACGTCTGTGAGAAAGTTTGGGGAAATTCCTATAGCTATACCCATGGGTGGAGTGAAGCTTAGGGAAATATAACAAAAAGAAAAGCTGTCAAGATTTTCTTTACCTTGGGATGGGATGGAAGCACCCATATTTAATTTAAGGACCCTTAGCAACCGTAGCCTATTCTTTTACAATCGTTTATTTATTTGAAAATAAAATCTATTATTTTATTCATGTTTGTAAATACATTCTGTTAGTGAACATCTGTTTTTTGGTTCATTTTGAAAGGCAGTCTCTAGCAGTCCAAACGGGAGCTAGCTCAGTTCCATAAAGAAGGCCTCAGCCTTAAGTTTGCAAGAGCTGAGCAGAGCTGTCAAGGACTTGACATAAGGACCTAAGGAAAGCCGTGCTGGTTGAGAGCACCCATTCCAGCACTGCTTACAAGGCTGCCCACCAGATCCCTCAAACAGGATGGGTACAAGCCCAGGCCCCCCCGCAGCTGGCGTATGCAGGCACGCCGTCTCTGGTGATGGAGGTGGTGCGTAGCCAACAAGGCTGGTCGCCATGCATGGCCTCCTCCTCCTCCATCGCTTTCTCCAGTCCCCTCTTAAAACCAACCAAGTTTGGGGAGGGGGAGCACTCCGAGGTGAAAAATGGGAAAGCAAGGCCTTCACGTCTCTCGCCACAACAGCGTGTTATGGCAGTGATCATGTGACGCAGCCCAACCAGCTGCTCCTGGCAGGTCTCCGAATCCCCTGCGGCGCCACAGAACCAGATGCGTCCCAAGGATGGTGGTTGCCCCACCGCCATGGCCAGAGCCTGCAGCATTCTCTCCCCCACACTGCCGTTCTACCCTGATGCAATAACAACTCTAACAGATTTGCTTTTGTGTGTTTTTATTTAGTGTGTGGACCAGCTGACCAGGATCCAGGCGGAATTGCAAGAGACAGTAAAAGATTTAGCTAAGGGCAAGAAGAAGTACTTTGAAATGGAGCAGATGGCTCAGGCTGTCCGTGAAAAGGCCGATATTGAGGCCAAGTATGTTCCAGTATGTCTACAGTCTCTGCATGTAAATTGCTTTAAATAGCTTTACGTAACACACCTTGCTTGACCATGACAGGTGTAATCCAAGCTTGTAAACAAGCGCTCCCCTGGCCACCCACAGAATCATCTCCACCTCGCTTAGAAAAAACCTCTCTTTGTTTCTCCTTTGCTGTGTCAGACTTGTGCCCATGTTTTAAGGATAAGCTCCTTTCAAACAAGCAAAATGCATCATCTGTTCTAGGAATAAATTGATCTTAGAATAGGATTGGTAAATTGTGTTATTTTCTGTTATAGGTCCAAACTTAGTCTTTTTCAGTCGAGGATAAGCTTACAGAAAGCAAGTGTAAAGGTGAGTAAAAAAATAGGTTGTGCAATATAATTTTAACACTACTTTAAGTGTAGTTACAGATACCAAAAAAACTGCACTGAGTGCATTTTTCAGCTTTAAGTTATGACTGCCTCTTGGAACCCATTCAGGCACTCCATGGGAATTTGACATTCTTGCACGTTTCTCATCAGTGTGAAGAAGTGTGGCGATTTCTCTTACCTCTGCCCCAGTATCATTTTTTACCTCCTCCCAGAGGATGACATGCCCACAAAATGCCACATACTTCACACCTACTAAGTTCTGAGAATGAGTTCTGACAAAAACGGTTAGGTTTGTCCAGGCCTACCTGGTTTTATCACTTCCCTTTTCCCCCTTTGGTCATTTCCCCCCACTTCAAGTTACGCAGCCCGCGTGCCTCACAGAGCTGCCCCTGTGGAGCAGACGCCCACACGTGAGACGGCACGCGCCGAGAAGGCTTCTTTGAGAAAAGCAGATTGCGCAGAAGGTCTTTTAGCCCGGATTCCCACTGAAATGTGCGAGAGTAGAAGAGCACTGAATAACCCCACGCCTTAACTGAAAGTAGTTCAATGCGGTTCCCAGATGGGCCGCTTCAGGACCAGTGTGGTGTGGCAGGGAGGCTCTTCAGCCGAGAGCACGAGTGACCAATGCCCCACAGTGCCACACTCAGCTGGTGGCTGTCGATATGCCGTGGCCACAGCCTCATCCCTCTGTCAGCACTGTTGGAATAGCTGTGGTTGGCTGTGTCCGCCCATGCTAAGGAGACAAGGTATCTGAAGCACCTTGATTCTCTATCAGGTGCTTTATCGAATAAGTGCATACATACATAATTAGACAGCTATACTATTCCATAATACTGGAAGAAACATATGCCCCATTGGAAAGCTACACTGGATTGCCCATCCTTTTCCTAAAACATGGGTCCACAATGCGAAACTCTTGCATCTTAACCACTCCTCATCCTTTCTTTACCATCTGATTTTCTTTCATTGATACAGTTAAAAGCACGACGTTCCGAGTGCAATTCTAAAGCTACTCATGCGAGGAATGACTACCTTCTCACGTTAGCAGCTGCAAATGCACACCAAGAGCGCTACTATCAGACAGACTTAGTAAACATTATGAAGGTAATGGCTGTTTTAGTCGAATAACTGGTGTTTTCCCCACTGCTATAGATTATACAGTATAATCTTGATAATATAATAAAAATATTATTGCTTTACTCTGAGGGAATTATCTAAGTTCATTCCGTGTCTAAAGAGATTTCGGTGGATTTTAAAAGGTCTTCTGTTTAATTACAGTGTACTAAATACCATGACTTGGCATCTTTAACCCTTGAATATAGGAGAAACAGTAAGTTTAATGCACCAAACCACACTGAACTACATTCATGGAAGTTTGAATTGAGAAAGTTCAGTTTACAAGTAAGCCAGCAACACAGAACCAAGAACTATTGTCTAAAATGGATTTGCAGGTCGCAGGTTGTGCTGACTTCAGCTTTGCATGACGGCTGCATCAATAAACTACAGGGTATCTATTGCTTTTCCTCCAGAAGTTGGTGCACTACATTGGCAGAAATGGACTTAAGAACCCGAGTGCTGAGAATCCAGAAAACAAAAGCAGCCAAACAGCTCTTAGTCATGGTTTGGCCCATGGACATTTGGAAATTCAAATCATTATTTGAGTTCCGAGCCACTGGTTGGTGCACATCAGAGTTTGGGGTGTGTTTGAGCTGAGCCAGCATGAAACATGGCATGTAACAAAATGTTGAACTTCTGTACGTGGAATATTTTTTGGCCTGGCTCTAAGGGACCGTGCCACTAGTTAGTTTTGCTTGCCCAAAGAGTCTTTGGACTTAGGTTTGCCAGGCAATCTCACGGTGCACCCTGGCAAATCAGTTTTGCATCCAAGGGTCTGCATCACATAGAAAGAGAATTCCCCCTGGGCATGTGCGAGCTGCCAAGCACACCAAAAAGCATGCGATGAATAGTTTTGGATCCCGGTCTGACTTTTCTCATTTATCTTTAAAACAAAATGGCTTACATTTTGCTCTCGTTGCCCTGAATCATAAACTGGTTAGTGATTGGTTTAGATTAGTCTTTCTTAAATGGACCAGGCATTCTGCAAAGTCTGAAGGCTCTGTTACTTCCCACACGTCTTTAGAAAACTGAAAGACAACTCAGGCGGTGGAGGCCTGATCAAGAGAAGGAGAGATGCCGTACGGTGGTCTTTCATGAATTCTTGTTGAAGCATTGTTGCAAAAGTTTCTTGCTCGCGTAATCATTTTGGGTGTGAGCTGTTTTGGTTCCATTGAGGCGTAATGTTGCTCTGCGAACAGAACCCGTTCTTGACCAGCCAAATAACTCAATAGCACTTTGGCTGGCAACAGAAGCCCCCTCCCCCCAGCTTTTTCTGAAACAATTTTGTGAGAAAAATCTATAGCACACATGTGAGGAGCACAGTGAATGTCTTCCACTTTCTCTGCATCTCTTGCCAGTCTCCCTTCCTTCTCCAACTTCTTAATATAGACCATTTGTCTCGGTGGTTTCCTTCCTTCTTTTCATGCTCCTTGTGTAGTTTTGTGATAGGACCACATTCGCCAAATCCTTGCCTTCCTGTATCCCGTTAGATGATTTCGTATGACCATGAAGTCCTGGAAGATTCCCAGGATTTTCTCTTCATCACTGCTAAGATTCAGTGTCCAAGGTTTTGTGAAATGGTACATTATACTACGATTTTGACAATGTGAACAGAAAGGGTGTTTTGTGACATCATAAAGAATAACACATTGAAGACCACTGAAGATTTATAATGCCAATGTGGTGGTGTAGTGGTTAAGAGCATGGGACTGGGACTCAGAGGATCTGGGTTCGAGTCCCTGCTCAGCCATGGAGCCAACTGGGTGACTCTGGGCCAGTCAGACTCTCAGCCCAACCTACCTCACAGGGTTGTTGTTGCAGGGATAGGATGGAGGAGAAGAATGATGTAAGCTGCCTCGAGCCTTTGTAGGAAAAAGGCAGGCTATAACTCGAAAAATAAATAAATAAAATCTGAAGGCAGGTATTCACATGGCCGAGAGGACAGGAACAGAGGAAATCTGACATTTAGAGGAAAGTGAAATGCAAAAAAGAGCAAATAGTGACTGGGTTACCATAATCAGGGAAGGAAAAGAAGCAGTGATGTTTCTCCCTCTCTTTTCTTAATTACCCACTCTGGGTGCAGATTCCCATGTTGCCTGGACCTGCCAAGGGTGGGCAGGAGGGGTGGCTTTCAACCACCCCAGGACTCTAGAGCAAGCCATGGGTTTTGGGGTGGCTTGGAAGTCCCTCCCCGTCTTGCTGGGTTTGGCCAACAGGCCATCCCGCACCTGGCATGGATAGTTACGAGGCGAGAAGTGCAGGACAGAGGAGAGAAGCCGCAGTGGTTTCTTTCCTTTCCTTGGGCATGCCAATCCAACCCGTGTAAAAGCGAAATAGTTACTGCAATCGTGAGCAAAGTAGTTTTGTTGGTAGCACAAATGTTCTGGCATTGATAAACCAACCTAACAGATCTAATGGGAGTTTAAAAAAAATTGAACCAAGCTGCTGCGGGTAGAAATGAGATCGTTAATAAACTGAGATTATAGGGTTTTATCACATTTGTGTTCTGATCAGCATTGCTTATTAATGTTCCCAGCAATTATTTTACTGTTAAGTAATTGTTGCTGTTCAGCTTGCATTTCATTTCCATCTGCAATCACCCTTCTGCATTCCACCTGACCCGTGTGCTCCCTGTTTAGCCTGTCCATTCAGCGGTCCACCTCATACATCTGTGAATTTGAATTTAGTCCACAAAAGCTTATGCCATAATAAACGTTTCAAGACTCTTTTTGCTGCCAGAGTGCAGCACTGCTCCGGAAATTAATAATATGGAGTGGTATTTACATTTTTATCACTTAACCTGTTAGAAGCCAAATGATTTATCAACTAAATGCTTTAAGCGAGAGCCAAGTTAGGCAGAAATGCCGTGTGCTGTGGCAAAGCAGCATTTTTCTGAATGATTGCGACATTTCAACTGAAAAGTTGCTTTGTGCTTTTCCTACTAGCCAAGAACAGCTGTAGCAGCATTGTAAAACAATTGCACTTCTCAGCACAGGCATTTTAACGGGGCCTGTGCAGGAGCCATGAGTGACTCCAGAGGAGTTCTGCCTTGAGAGTGAAACCCGAGAACGGAGATGGGCAGGCTTCAAGCCCCAGACAGCTTTTCTGTGCGGTGTGCTTTTCAAAATGCTGCTTTAATTATTAATGCAATCTCAGAAGAGGATTCAGAAATCAATTTAATGTCACTTTCCTGGAGAACCTCCATGCCTCTTAAATAATTTAATTCCCTTGCCCCCACAAAAAGAAAGAAGGGAAGAATTCTAGCAGAATGCAGGTAGACATGGCCCCGCTTAGCAAGATGTGATTTAGTTCTGCTGTAGGCTTATTCCGAGTATAAACACACCGGACAAAAACAAAAATCGATTGAACTGTTTGGAACTTCCAGGTGGCTCTGAGCTGCAAAGCAGAACTCAGCTCACAAGCGTTGTTCTTACTTTTCTCAGTTCTGAAGCTACTGGGGCATAGTTGTATAAAATCAGTCTGAAATATTAAAACATCCTACCTTTTCAATAGAAAATTGACTAAAAGTAGACAACCATTCTTAATATTTGAGTCTTCAGAGAAGGTGTGTGTATTTTCTGTGAAAATATTCCACTCCTGAGTAAATACAATTGCAAATGTTTGCAAATAAAGTATTTCCAAAATGTTAGTGTTCCCATACATCGAAATTACTGGAAACATTGCAAGCTTGGGAGAGGGCCCCCAGGAGGGCCTGGTGCAGTTCCTGGTATGTCTGGCTGAAAAAACTCTCAGGCAGAAGAGCAGAGAATTTCCTCCATCTGGGGAAGCCGCTACCAGTCAGAGCAGACAGTTCCAGACTTGATTTCTTACCTAGTTATATAAAAATATTTATATGCCACCTGTATGTCTGCAACAGGGTCTCCCAAGCTAGTGTTCTTAAAATGTATTAGAATAACAACCAGAGTGAAGCAGAACTAGATATAAAACTTTCTGGAGAGTGAAACCAGCCTCAAATTAAAGCTCATTAAGAGCCACCCAGAGCAGCAACATTTCTACCACCCTTCTAAAACTGAGCAAGAACTGGGCCGATCGAACCTCTCTAGGGAGGGAATTTAACACTTTGGGTGCTGCCACCCAGAAGGCCCTGGCCTTGGTCTCCACCAAGGCAATTTAACTTGGTGGTGGGACATCAAACAACCTCTTAGGATGATCATAGGATGTGGGCAGCATCAAGGATGTTGTGGGAGAATGTTGCCTTTCAGATGTCCTGGTCCCGAACTGTTCAGAGTTTTGTGCAGACAGACCAGTGCTTGGAATTCGCCTGGAAACAAATTCGGAACCAGTGCAGTTAACCAGTGCCCCATTTGGGGAATGCGCTCCCCACAGAGGTCCGCCTGGCACCGTCGTTACTTGTTTTTTGGTGCCAGGCTAAGACCTTTTTAGTCAAACAATATTTTAATAATGTTTAATATTTATTGGTTTTAATTGTGCAGCCGGGGTGTTTCCGGATTTTAACTGTATTTGTACTATATTTATTTATTTGTGTGAGCCGTCCCGAGGCTATATAGCAAGGGGACGGCATACAGAAACTTCAAATAAATAAATAATAAATGTGGGGTTGTGTCTGTAAAGCATACGCTAGAAAGCGATCTGGCCGCAGCATTTTTACCGGCTGCAGCTTTTGAACGCTTCTCAAGGACAGCTCTGCATGGAGTGCATTGCCATCATCGCAGTAAAGAAGCAGCTGCAACATCCCTTCCTGTGGCCAGACCCATGGGATTGTCCAGAGGGCATGGCGGGTTTCAGTCCTCTGACATAACCTCAGCTATTTGGTAAGGCATGTCGTTGCCCTTCTGAGCTTACAGGGTCTCTCTCCTGCAGTCCTCGGCCTCAGTCATGGGTCATGCCCTGCCCTGTGGGAAAGAAAAAATGCTGGGCAACTCACACCAGGCACTTGGAGACGCAGGTGTGAGAGAGGCAGCCCATGGTTCTAGCCCTCTGCAAACATTTCTCTGAGCCATGGAAAG